CTTTACACACTAAGCATAATATAGGCTATATTAGTATAAACTAGCTTAATATGTTTGTTAAGTGTTACCTAGAGCTTAAAGTAAAGTTTAAGTGTAAGTATAACTATAAAAAAGCTTTTTATAAGAATTCTATAGTAATTTAAAGCTAGTTTAACCTTATAAAGAATATTAAAGCTAAGTATAGCATCTAAGATAATAACACATATAACTTTAACAAGATAAAGTTTATAATAGGCTAGATATCTACTAGAGCAGTTATTATAAATTTAGAGAGATAAGGACAGCTAAAAGCAGTCTAGCTAGGTAACTAAGAGTAGACAACAGCTATTTAGGGCATTAATGCTAAAGGGTAGGCTATTCTACTTTTTATTATCTTTTAGGGTAGTAACTACCTTTTAAACTAGTATAAAAAGGAAAATCTACTTTAAGATTAAGTTATTATAATCTCTAAGCATAGCTAGACTACTAATTAGCTTAGTTTAGACTAGTTAAAGCACTTTAATGTGTATATAAAGAAGTGTACTATTAGCAGCTACTGTCTGCTAGTTATTAATAGCTATAAAAGCTATAACTTACTTTATTTCTAGTAATACTATAAAGATAATAAAATTATTACTATTTATATACCTTTTTACTTATTACACTTTTTACAGCTACTTAATATAAGTTGTTTTACTTCTTTAAAAAAGGTGTATAAGCGCTAAGCTAAAAACTTTATACATAACTAGATTACCTATATTATAAAAATAAAGTTCCTGCTATGCTTTAAAGTAGCTTATTATACTGTAATTACTTTTAGTAATATCTAAGAAAGGTTCTAAGGCGCTAGATTAGTTCTTTTTAACCTATAATAAGTTATAATAGGCCTTAATATAAAGTTATGCACTTTATTACTACTACTACCTGTATATAACAAGCTCTAGTAGTTATAAACCCTAAGTAATACTCTAGAACTTAGGTTATAATTAATGCTTATAAAAATAAAAATTTAGAAGTATATAAATAGTTTACTAACTTTTATAGTTAAGGCGTTTAAAAAAGTCTTAAAAAAGGTAGTAATAATTACGCATAAGCTAGTGTTAGTGTAACAGAAAATTACTAAGCTTTAAGCAGCTAATAAGGCTGCTACATAACATAAATTACATAAAAGAAAGTAGATTAAGGTAAAAAAAACCTTAATAATTTAGAAAGGCCTATACTTAATAGCTCTAAAGGAGTTTAAAGCGCGCAGTAACAGGAAAAAGGTAAAGAAGCAGGTGCAAGCTAAAGTAGGTAAGCTATTCTAAAGGCGCTGCAAATAGTGTAATTAGACTAGGTATAACACGCAAACATATAAGCAAGAAGTAGAAGTAGTATCTAAATAATATTCTAAGCTGTACTGTACTATATAGTGCTAGAGCGGGTTGTTATAGGCCATAATAGAGTTTGTTAGGGTGGGGTCTTGGCAAAAGTAAGCGACTTGGGTGTGTGAGCAACTCGCCTATGAAGTACGTTACTTTAAATCTTATTTTTTTTTTACTACCTGCGCTTTTAATCTTTCTTATAACTATTAAAGTTGCTTAAGTTGTTATAACGCCTATGTTTTTTTACTCTTACTTTTCCTTTATTCTTAGCAATTTTAAGCTAGTTGCTAGTTAAACCTTACTAGTGCTTAACTAGGCTAATTAGAGGCTAGCTTATATAAACTTTATTTTTACTATTAAAGTAGATAAGCGCGTATAACTTAGAGTTAACTAGTTAGATCTTAAAGTGCTTGCTACTTAAGTAGATATAACACTAATAAGTAAAGTTATTATAGTTTTTAGTGTAGCACTTTTACATGTAATAGATCTAGCTTTTTAACTTAGCTTATAATTTAAACTACTTTTAGTGCTAAGTAGCTTTTATTTTGTTTATTAATTACCTTTTATGTTTAGAGGTAAACTAACTAAAAGTTACTACCTCTAGCTAGTTAAAGAATAGATTGTTAAATGCCTAGCTACATAGAAAAGCCTTTTTAAGTAGCTTATACTTTACTTAAACTTTTACTTTAAGCTTTACTTACTTATTTAGTAACTTTTTTTTAATAGTAATTTAATAGTCTATTGCCTTAAAAAGTTAGTAGCCTTTAGTTAAGCTAAAATTATTAAAGTTAATAGTAATAAACTTAGCACTTCTTTTACTAGTAAGCTTAAACTCTACTACGCAGCTTACTATTTTATAGGTTTTACTTTTTACTATTAAAGTAAGATTTTTAATTATCTTTTTAACTATCTTTTTTATTTAAAATATAAAGAAAACCTTTTAAGTCTTTACTTTTAGTAGCTATAATACTACTCTTTTGCTGTTTATATACAGCTTATATAATATATCTAGTTGCTAAAGGTATTTAGTTAGTAGTAATAACACCCTAGCCTAAGCCTTAGAGCTACTTATTAAAAGATGTATTAGTAAAAATATTACTCTAGGCGTAATTAGTAGTAACAATAGTAGGTTCTACAACTCTTCTAGAGTAGTACTAACAGGCGCAGAGCTCCCCTAGGTACCCGCTAAGGGACCTACTTTAGGTGGTGCTTAAAAGCTTACTACTTTATGCGTTTTTAGTTAACTAGTCTTCTTTTAAGCCTTTAATGTAGCCTTTAAAGCTATTATTAAGGCCTTCTTTACAGCTATTTAAATTAGTTGTTGTTAAGCCTTTTTAGTAGCTCTAGTTGCCCTCTAAGGCCTCTCGCTAGCCATGCTATAACACTAGAAAAGTTGTTAGTATAGCCTGTTACGTGTAGTTAAATATCTTTATTTTTTTAACTAACTTTAACTAAGGACCTAGAGCAATTTAGTGGCTGCACAACGCGTTTTACAGTTTACTAGCAAAATACGCGCGCGAAAAAAAGGCAAGGGTGACGCCAAGCATTGCACTAATTTTTGAATACGATAGATCTAACGCACGGTTTCACCTGACGCACGGTTTTTCCCGAACAACCTTATCATCAAATGAAGCTTTTAAGGCCTACACTAGTAGTCGAGTCGCGAGATTTTTAAGGGTAATAGTAAACTCAGTCGCGCAAAAAAGTCTATTGTGTTTTCTAAGTCAAATACCTAGTAGGAAGCTTAATTTGCCTACCCCGTCAATTTGTTGACTAGGACGCCTCTGCTAACTCCACAATTAATATATCCTTAATACTAACATTCTAATGCCTAACTATAGGCTTTTCTATCTTTTTAAAGCCTTCTTAGCTGCTTTAATGTTAGTTTAGAGTTATATAGCAGCTTATTTAGCTAGTTTATTATCCTTCTTTTAACACTTTTTATAAGCTACCTTTTATAATCTAATTTTCTTAGCTATTACTTTTATGCGCTTTTTTTTTTATAACTTTTTTTTCTTTCTTTTGTTTAGCTTTATACTTAGCTTTTTTTTACTTTTAAAGTTTCTTTACTTTTGCTCTCTTTTCTTTTTAAGCTTAATATTTATAAGCTTGTTAGACCTTATTTAGGCTCTAAAATATAGCTTCTTTATTAAAGTTTAGTAGTAGTTTAAGCTATAAAGCCTTGCTTTTTTAACAACACTTTTTTTTATTTACTAGAGCCTTTTTTAGGCCTTAAACCTTTAGTTTTAAGAGAATATTCTAAGTTAAAAGTAAGTAAAGCGTCTAAGAGAGCTAACATGCTTTTATGTTATGCATGTTGTTAACAGCTACTTATAGCAGCTTAGCAATCTTCCTCTAATCTTTAGATGTAAGAACTAACTTTAAACCCTTACTAAAAGAAGGCTTTTTATTATTAATACTGTTACTACTAGTGCTAGTGCTAGTAAATTAAGCTAAAATAACTTTTATATTAAATAGGTGTAATCTATAGCTTTTAAAGCCTAAAAGTATATTTTTCTTTATAAAAGACTTCTCTTACGCAGCATTAAACATAGTAAAGAAGTCTTTTTTAGTTATAGCTAAAAAGGCTTAAGATTTCTTTATAAATTTTACTACTTTTTTACTATACACTAGAAAGAGAAGCTAGAACATAGTAACGTCTAGAGGCTAAAGCGTGTAAGTTAAATAAGAAAAGTAAACTGCTAAAAATATCTTATTATTATTATAAAATTAAATAAACTTTATAGCTATTAAAAATAAGTAGTTAGTAACACCTTTAAGCCTTATCTTTTATCTATTAATTAAAGATAGTTTTAACTTATTAAAGGCCTAAGTTGTTATTTGTCTATTTACTTAAAGATAAAGTAAAGAAAGCTTTATAAATTTTAGAGTTAAAATCTTACAGCTAAGTGTCTTAGATGTTACCTGTAACAGCTTAGTAAATAAGGCCTAGAGACAAGGCAGTTCTATCTACACATATGCATGTAATAGTTATAATCTACTTATAATTACTATTTTATACTATTTACTTAATCTCTTATTTTTTATACTTTCTTTAAGAGAAGACTCTCTTTGTTTTTAAAAAACTTTAATTAGAAAGCTTTTTTTATCTATATTATACATGTCTTAAGACTTAATATTATACTACTTAATTTTACACTTTAAAAGCTTAACATATAGTGTATATTTAAAGGCAGAGTTAGCTTTTTTTTTCTTTATCTATACTAGTTGTCTACTTAGATACTAGCTTAACTTTATAACACTTAAGGAACTAGTTAGGCTACAACCTACTAGCAAGGTTTCTGCTTATTTCTATAGCAAAATTGCGTAGCATCTGTCTTATAGAAGGTAGGCCTTACTTACAGAGCCTATTAATGTATTGTACTAGCTTCTTCTTTTACTGCGCATTAAAAAGTCTTTAATTTTTATATTACTCTACATAACTTTGCTAGACTCTATAAAATTATTTTAATAACATTAATTAAGTAACACTAAACTTTTTTACTGTCTAGGTGATATTATGTTTTTTTTGCCTAGCTTTAGTAATTCTAGCGCTATTAACACAGCTAAAATTAGGTCTATATTAGTGGAGTTAGAGTTATGTTGAAATTTTGAATTTTCCGAAGCAAGTGTGCGCCAGGTGAAACCGTGCGTCAGATGCCAAGCTACGGTATAGTACATGCCATGGCGAAATCGGGAGAGGCCGCCTTTTGTGTACGGTAATGAGTCTAGAAATAACCCCCTAGGACAGGCGTCCCAGTATCATTCTTTCTTGATCTAAGTGCTAAGCTTAATACTTGCACTAAAAACCGCACGATTACTGTTTCCTTGTGCTAGCTCGGGTTTGGAGAATGTGAATTTAGGCAAAAGAGGTTACAGTTACCAGAGGTATGACTAAGCTGCCTATTATTAGGAGGGTCCTATTCAGGGACCTTTAAAAAGCCCTTTTAGAGAAATTGCTATAAAAGGAGTTATTTTTAGCGCTAGTGCTATTTATAACATAGTTCTAATTATTGGATATATATCACGTGATCACATTATATGCCTTTCAGGTGCTGGGTAGAGTGTATGGATAAACAATGTTTGGGCATACTTTATCCGCTTGTGGGCCGTCTTTGCGATAGTGTAATGCCTTGTTTCTAATTATAACAATACCCTAGGGATTGCAAGGGAACCCGGGGGTCCGTTTTGTTCCCTATGATGACGTCATTAGCCAGATCTGGTGGCAGTTCGACAAATAGCCATCATGTTTCTATTTCGGTCGGGGCTACTTTCGCTCCCTACTAGGAAATACTAAGCCCAGGATCAAAAGCGACATTTTGACGGAGTATTCTACTCGGCCCGGTTTTGTAGCAATAGTAGTAATGAGCCTTAGGGTCCCTGGAACAACCTCCCAGGCAAGTGGGCGTCCCGGGACAATCGTCCCAGGAAATTTGGTGTCCTGGGAAAATCAGCGTCCTAGGAAAGTCGTCCCGGGAAAATTGGCGTCCTAGGAAAACCGTCCCAGGAAAATTAGCGTCCTGGGACAATCGGCGTCCTAGGAAAGTCATCCCGGGAGAATTGGCGTCCTAGGAAAATTGTCCTAGGAAAGATATCCCAGGAGAGTCGTCCCAGGAAAGATATCCCAGGAGAGTCGTCCCAGGAAAGATGTCCCAGGAGAGTCGTCCCAGGAAAGATGTCCCAGGAGAGTCGTCCCAGGAAAGATGTCCCAGGAGAGTTGTCCCAGGAAAGATGTCCCAGGAGAGCCGTCCCAGGAGGAATAAGGTCCCAGGACAGTCGTCCCAGGAAAATTCCTGGGGACCCGCGAGGTCCTAGAAAAACGACCTCCTAGTCACGCTAGGACCCTAGGAGGATCAGTGTCCCAGAAACGTCCTCCTAGTTACGCTAAGGTCCTAGGAGAATAGGTTCCTAGGACCCGCGGAGTCCCAGAAATGACCTCCCAGTCACGCTAGGGTCCTAGGAGAATTAGTGTCCCAGAAACGTCCTCCTAGTCGCGCCGGGGTCCTAAGAGAACGGGTTCCTAGAAGAATTAGAGTTAGCCACGACCCCATTTGGGTAATACCCTTTTAGGACCTAGGAGATTTAGATTCCCAGAAATAGCCTCTTGAGTGGAAATCCTAGGGCGATCCTCCTAGGAAACGAGGGTCCTAGAAAGAGCCTTCTAGACACGTGAGCGCCTTATAAACAACCTTCTAGATACGTGGGCATCCCATGGCGATCCTCCTAGGGAAATGGGGTTTCTAGAAACAACCTCTTAGCACGTGAGCACCCTATCGTCTCCGAGATCTGCAATCTCGTGCCACGGGGCCAAATAGTGCAAAGTCGGAACGAACTTGAAGGCCGAGGTTGCTTTGAAAATTGGTAGACACGTTTGACCTCCTTTCCTTTCTTTACCATGATCTTTGCACGTAAGACAGGCGATATTAGAAGATATTAAAGAAACTTTTAAGTAAAACTACTTACTCTAATTAATCCTAAGTTGGACGCCGTACATAATTTAACTGTGCAACACCAACAAAAGCATGCGCAGTTTATCCAATTAGTTCGAATTCATTCCCTATACCAGCTACTTCCGGACTTCAGTTATACATTTCTATTGGTACTAGAGGGCTAGCACAGCATTCTCGCATAGGCGAGGCGACTTAACTAGCAGTGTCTTTTAATCGGATGCTATACGCCATGCACAAAGGCTGCATAATTTTTGAAATGCCCCAGTCCTTCAATCCACTCTGAACAAGAAGGATGCTTACAGCGGAACCCTTGTCTAAACTCTCCATTCGCTACATGGATATTAAGATGCTTCTGCAGTGGATCCTTCTTCGCAAATGGGCGGGTATGCTTTAGCGTCGAGAATCGGTCATCGCCGATGCAGAGAAGGCAGACAAGATCCGTAAACATCATAGGATATAAGGGCTGAATAATCTCAACATCCTCTCCCTTGATTGGAATTGCCCTCTGCATCCCATAAGGGCTGCCTTAGAAAGGCGGGTCCACGTTAATCTGTTCCCTTTACTGCGTTGTCTTCTAGTGGGCACTAGTATTAGTGTCGCTTGCACTTCTTTTTACGCCCATCATGCTTTTGTCTTCTTCGGACCCAAGTCGAAATCTAATAGCCTTACTTAGAATTCTATCCTGCCGGCTCTCTTGTCAATTACAATACTTGACGAGGTTGCAGATAAACTTCACACGAAGTGTCCGTTCAGCGGCTGAGACAGCAATTTGGCAATAGTAGCTCGTTCACGGAATTCATATTGTACAGTCGAACGAGTGGGAATGTCCATCCCAACGTTACCACTTAGCTGTCTTTCAATATCGTAATCATCGATTGTGTTGTGAAAGTCGAGAATGGCCTAGTCCACTCTTTGTTTACGCAGGATGTTTGTGAGACTATTAAGTTTACGTTTGGCTTCCTCGTAACGGTTGTATAGTTTTGTTCCCTTCGCGATGTCAATAGGGTGGAATCCACTATAACAAATCAGCCGAATTTTTTTTTTAAAAAAAAGCAATGATCGCCCCACATCTTGTATATCAAGCTCTGCGCCATTGTTCATACTATGGCCTGCCACATCTATGAATTTGCACAGCATTCGTCTCTAGTACGCCTTGATCGCGCTTTCTTTCTTAATTCGAGAATTCTTCACGCGCCATTCAAGGTATGTTTTGAACGTGTCAGCTGCGCACTGACGAAGGGCTTCAGTTGGGTCAGACTTGACTTTTAGGCAGAACCTAAATAGAAATCATCAGTATCATAAAGCGAATCTTAGTTTGAATACAAACGAACTTTTCCCAGCTCTGGAACTCCTGCTTAACAAGAAAAGTAGACTAGGGCTTCTGTTTTAACTTCGCTCTTCCTCGGTTCTTATAATACGCAATCCTCTGCCGAAAATATTCCCCCTCGGAATCGGTGTCTTCCCCAACCCCAGAGTCAGAGCTCGAATCTGAATACGAAGCTAGCTCAGAACAAGACGAGTTGCCCGGTTCAAAGCCCGAACTAGAGGCTAATTCTGTATTTTGCTATTTCTTGCTTCGAGAGGGCATGGTAGTCAAACGCGTGGTGTCTCGGTGCTTCAGCAGCTGCCAGTTGCCTACACGCAGAAGCCAGCTTAAGAGCGACTGCTGTTAATAGGAACGCTGGAAAAGTCTCTACGGGAGATAGACGTTCTTAAGAGCGGGACAGGGCAAAAAACCTCGTAAGTGGAAACCTAGAAATCGAGTATCAGAAGTAAACAACATAATAGCAGGGGAAAATGCGTACGTAGCTACTACGGGAAAAGGTTGAAGGAGCGTAGCGCAGAAGAGAGGTTTTGTCGTGTGAGGGTAGTGCTTTGGCGGAGGATGAGGGCGAAGGTAGAAATAGGATCAGATAGGTGGCAGACGTCCATGGCTTCTTAAATAGCCCCCGAGGGACACCACCGAGGGACGCCGCCGAGAGACATTTGGGGAGCTTCGAGAGGAGTTTTGCAGGGCTGCACGCGCGCTTCTAAATTTAGTGAAGAGGACCCCGCCGCCCTTGGCACGCTTAGCACGTTGCAAAAGCGGCGATAGACATGGGTCTAAGCGAGGAGAAACTGCCTCCCAAAACGTGGAGCAGGAATCTCCAAATCCGGCTGCTTGTTCTCTAACAACATTAATCTATTAGTAATAATTTTATTATTTTTATAGTATTACTAAAAATAAAGTAAGTTATAACTCTTATAGCTATTAATAACTAGTAGGCAGTAGCTGCTAATAGTACACTTTTTTATAACGTACTTCACGGGCGAGTTGCTGTTACAATCCTTACTCCGGGGAAATGGTGTTTTCCGGAGTACAACAGCCTATATGGGTGTTAGTGGAGAAGGGATGAGAACTTAGCTGGATCAGGTGTACAGTCTGTCAAGCAGAGTGAGGGATAGTCAGGGTTTAGGAGGCAGGCTGTGGTTTGTCCCTATAGCTGTATAGGTAGCTAGGTGTTACTAGTTAAGTAGACAAAGGTTAGAGGTATATATATTACAAGATATACAAGGCAGCTTAATTCTCTTTAGAAAAAATTAAAGCTTTTTAGTCTATTATAAAAAATAAACTAAACATTAATTATAACCTCCTAGCTATAGTTAGAATTAAGACTATATATATAGTAGTTGCATACTTGCATGCTTACATGCTGTTTTCCTTTATAGCCTGTAAGCGCGTAAGCCTATAATGCCTTATTAGATAGCGCATTTTGCTAAGCATTTATTTATAAAATAGCACTATTCCTTTTCTATTTAGTTATAAGGTCTGCTAATTATAGGGTTAACTATCTCCTATCTATTATCCTTAGGGCTGTGTGTAATAGTAAGCTAAGTTATTACAGTCTATTTATTAGCTATAACACACAAGCTTTTCTCCTAGTTAGCATCCTTACTGTTATGTTCTTTCTGTTGTAAGTGTTAGGTTTTCTTTTTAGCTAGTGTGTGTCTTTCTATAAACACATAGCATACGCTTATCCTTTTTAACTATACCCTGCTAGACTCCTTGTCTTTTTACCTCTACTTGTTGCCTTTAGACAGTTGCTTAGCTTAATCTACTCTATTATATAAAAATGCGTCTTTGCAGTGTTTATTACTTAAGCAGTTTCTTTTACATAATGTCCTTATTATTAGACAAGTGTGTAGAATGTGTTTAAAAGGGGTGTTACTATAATACATTTATGTTAAATGTGTCTTAAAATTATTTAAAAAAGAAGCAGAAAAGATTACAGGTAAAGTTAAAAAAGGCTTAAAAAGATAAGATGTGTAAGAAAAATAAATCCTTAGCACACCTACAGTCCTTTATAGCTTATTAGAAAAGAGTGTAGAAGCAACTTAATCTTCTAGTAAATTAAAAAGTAAAATATCTAAAAGGAGACTTTTTCTTATTAGATAAGCTTAAAGCACTTAAGGCAGAAGCAGCAGGTCTTCCTCCTCCTTAGCCTATGTTAAAGGGTTATAGTCTTCCTACATTGCAGCTATCTAATGCAGTAGTAGTTTTAGCTAGTAAAGATGTCTTTTAGTTATAAGAACTTTTGCCTAGATAGTTTAATTTAAAAAGTGCAAGTAATACTTCTATAGCGCCTTCTAGGTGTTCTGCAGGTTTGTAACAGGTTCCTAGGTGTTTTTATAGGTTAGGTATCTTACCTACTTTATTAAGTAGTAATTTCCTTTCTTATCTAAGATCTTTTTAACTTTATATTTAAGTTTCTTTTTATCTTATCTTTAAGTTGCTAACAGGATATTTTTAGGTGCTAGTTCTAGCTTAGAAATGTAAAACTATAGAAAGATTTTTATATCTTTTAGTAATTTAAGCTTACATGCTCCTAGGCAGGTCTAAATAACTCTATAAAGCCCTATTTGTTTTTTAGCTAGCTTTTATGCTAGTTAAGAGTTTTTAAAGTTTATAGTATCTAGATATATATAATTATAAGAATGTATTTCTAGTGCTGTTTGTTAGTGTTAATTTGCTAATATTTCTATAGCTTTAGCTGTAAGCTAAGCTTTTTTACTTAATTTTTAATGTATTTCTAATAGTTATGTTGTCTAGCTTAAGGCTTTTAGTAGATCTATTAGCTAGGTTCTAAAGAGCTTGTATCTATAAGAGTAGCTAAAATTTGCTTTATACAGGGTTATTTTAGTTAAGGTAGACTATGTAGTGTTAATAGCTAACTAAGCTATTAGCAACTATTTAAGCTAGTCTATTTATTTGTATAAGATGTATTTTTATAGATACTTTTCTATTTCTATGTTTATTCTTTCTGTCTGTCTATCTATCTAAAAGTAATATGCTGTAGAGAGTCTATAGGTTATCTTAAGGTGTTAGACTATAGTTGTCTAATACTTGCTAGTAAAAAGTTTATTTTTATTTAAGATAATAATCTGTAGGCATCTATAAGTTATAAAGAGATTCTTTTTTATTTTAAACATAAATTCTTTTGCTGTAATGCTTTTTTCTGTTGCCTATATAAAGACAAACTTTATAGTTTTATTAACTATTACTGCAATTATATTATAAAGCCTTTCTATACTAGGTTTACAGAATAGTAGTAGTCCTGTTATAAAATCTATTATTATTATAGTCTAGAGTTGTTTAGGTGCTGTAATTAGCTAAAGTTGTCTATATAGTTTATGTCTTTAGAGATTGTTCTTATTGCACAAGTTACACTTCTATAGTACCTTAGTGCACAAGTGTTTTAGTTATAAGATGTCTTTAAAAATTACTTTTTTTATTTTTCTTTAAAGTAATTCTATTCTAGGGTGCCTAAACATTAAGGCCTTATAATACTTTTTAATAAGGTTTTTCTATTTATGTTTAGTAATTATTAGAGAATAGATTAGTCTTTCTAGTTTAGGTCTATTATATACTAGACCTTAGTTAGTTTTCTTAAAAATTGCAAATTCCTCTATGTCTTCTTTTAGTTTGTTAAAATAGTTAGAACATCTACTAAAGATGTCTACTTGCTAGTTGCTACTTCTAAGAACATGCTTAATAATAAAGTTAAACTATACTAACTCTATTACCTATTATACATGCATTAAAAAGAGTTTCTTTGTTGTTAAAAAAGTTACTAAGTTAGCATAGTTAGTATAGATAACAAATTATTGTTTAAGTTCTTATAATTTAACTTTTTAATTCCTATAAGCGTTAACTATAGCTTTAAGCTCTTTGTCTAGTATAGTGTATTTTTGTTCTGCAGAGGCAAACTTTGCTAAATAGTATGCTACTAGGTGCTAATAGCTGTTCTTTTGTTTTTATAGAAGAGCTACTCTTTTAGCTTGTTTTAAGGCGTTAGTGTGTACTTTAGTTTTAAAAGTTAGGTTGTACATTTAGAGGACTAAGTAGCTAGTAATAATTCTTTTTAATTCTTTAAAAAATTAATTTATTTTAGTTGTCTACTAAAATTTATGTAACTGTTAAATAGGCTCTGACAGCTAGCTGCTTATAGTATAAGCACTTAAGTAGTAAAAGTAAGAGTGGTGTACAGTGTGCACAGCGTACAAGGTAGGTAAGGTAAGGGCAACATGTTTCTAGTTCTATTGCTCTTGTCTTTCTTTTATACAGAGAAAAAAGAGGATATCTAGATGTTTACGCACAGAGGTTCGCGCACAAGCATTATGTGACATAGATACGTGATCCTGCTTGTGCGCGATTGTTTGTATCTAGGACGCGACGCTGCTGCTGCGTACAGACACTAGCAACTTTTCTTTTTGTCTAAAGAGTTGCCTTCTGTACGCGTTACTTCCCTTCTGTCTGTGTAGGTCTATCTAATTATGTTCTACCTTTACTTTACCCCTATTTATTAGGACTTGCCTTAGTAATGCTGTGTGTTAGAATAGGCTAGTTATGCTATGTA